GGAAGCTTCTGGCAGCTTCTCACAGAAGCCACTTCTGTAGCCTCCCTGCTGCCAAAACCTTGCCACACAAACCCAATACGAAGATCCACAAAAAATTACCAGTGAATGGTCAAAGAAATTACATTACCTTGAAGTTTCCTCTTAAGAGCCTAGAGCAACAATTTGTTGATTGTATGTACAATGCAGTTATACTTTAACATGGAGCAAAAGACTGTGCTCCCACTGTAGCACGTGATTTCTACCTGATTTGCAAATGGCATAGGACATTTATATATTTTACTTTGTGGCAAGTGGTGTGTCCTAAACAAAATACAAACAAATGAGACTCTTACCTGGCTCCCATTGCAAAATTGGTAGTGAGGCTGTTCTGCAGCTGTGCTGTTGCTGGTAACTATCTTTCTCCTTCACTGTCTTGTTTTTGTCTTCCTTCATATGCACCGTGGCAGTGGTTCTAGCTGTAGTGCACTGTTGGCATGGTACCAGTTTTATAATTAAATGTTATTTGGGCAGAAAGAAACTAGCCTCTTGGTCAAGGTACTTACTTGGAATATGGAAGACTAAAGTTTAGGTCTTCCTGCCAAGTAATATTTGTTTATCTGAAGTGGAACTGCTCCCAAACTCATTGCAGAACAGTTAATAGTCTAGCATGTAGAGTCTGTATGAGGGATGTAGAAGGCTGGATTGAGTTTGTTGTTCAGGCAGGGCAGGAATATGAAGATTTGCCGCGTAAGCATGGATGGATATCCTGACCCTTGCGCTGCCGTTGTGTGATTCCTGATCTGCTGGCAAACTGGATGTCACAGACTGAGGGTCAAAAGGCTCATGATTATACTAATACTGAATGTGGCTTAATGAAGATCTGTCTCAAAGATAGTTCTGTATTATGACAAGTCCTGGTTTGTATTACATCAGAATATGATAAAATATTGTAGCTTGAAGAATACAATCAATACAACTGTTTCTGTATGCAGTAAAGCCTAGAGAATACTTTGAAAGTAGTGGAGTTGGGAATAGTGACTTTCTGAATTTAATTTTCCTTTCAGAACACTTTGTATGTACTTTATAAACAAGTTCAGCACTTCTCAGCTTTGGCTTTTGTTTATAATAGAAGTGAAAAACATTACATTATCTTAAATGTTATGATGAATGTAAAGACACAACTATTCTTATGTAATGAAATACTTCAGTCTTTTTTTTCTTGATTTCACAGGATAACTTCTTCAATGCTAGTATTCCTTCTTTGGGTCTACGTAATGTCATATATATCAATGAAACACATACGAGGTAATGTAGTAAGTCTTTTGATTTTAAAATTCAATGTGTTCTGATCTTACATCAGGGAAATCTCTAGGATAGTCTGGACTGAATGAATATATAGTGCTGTCCTAAAATGCAGGAATTGGTGCTGACTTCAGGAAAGTAATATACTTGTTAAATTGGGCTGTGTGTATTTGGGAGCTGGGCAAAGTCCTTTGGGGTTATAGACAAGGAGTGTAAGGGTCAAACCTGTTTCGCAAAAAAATGGAGCATGTTTAATTCCTTACTCCGTTAGTGCAAATGGCAGCTTCTGTAATGTAATGCTGAGAGGAGCTGTTTTATTCCCATTCTTAAGAATGACTTCAGGCTGCATTTTAATTTAGTGAGCAGATCTGACTCACAATTTAGGTGTTGACTGTTATCACCAATGACAATTAAATCTGAACATCTTGAAAGACTGTCTCTCCTCTGCCTCAGTGGCAGAGTACAGCTCCTGAAGGATGCTGTATATGACATAAAAATGACAGTGTGTCTTTGTGCTGTTGGAATTGTATCTTCTGTTCTGGGATGAAGATACTGGAAGTACACAAAAATCTTTAGTCTGTTCTTTGGAAAGTTAATAATGCTTGCTAAGGTTTTTACAGTGATCATTAGCATAAGCAGGTCCTGCAGTATTTGTTGTAGAGTCAGAGCAAACAAAAGAGAGGCCAGCAGCCTGAAAGAAATGAGCCAAACTGTCTGAGAGGAAGAAAGGCAGCATTGTGCTCTGCTCGAGAGAGAGGAAGCTAATGTTAGAGGCTGTTCTTTCTTCAATTTCGATGAATTATGTTTTTTTAAGAGCTGAGTTTGTAGTTTAGAATACAGAAAAATAACAGAAATAGTGTTTAACTTTTTTTTTTTAAATTAGTTTCAAAAGTCTAATGCTTGTATAGTTTTGAATGATCAGAGTTACTGAAGTTAGAAATGTACGGGCAACAAAATATGGGTTAATGAATTATTCTGAAATAAAATGGCTTCAGCTCAGAATGTCATTATAGTCTGAAAATTGACAATTCTAATGAAGTTTTGAGGTCCCATGGGGTTACAGAGTCACGGTTTATTGGCCTTAGAAAGCAAGAGGGATTCTCTTTAACTGCTAGCGTACTGTACCTCTATTGAGACATTACCACAGCCTTTTTCTGAGATGAATATGTCAGTTTTATAATATATCTTGACTGGGTCTGTTCTGTGTGATTTTTGTCTTCTATCATTTCTACATGATTAGAAAACAGATTTTTCTAATTATACTACATCGTATCTAAGCTGCGAAATGAATGTAGAAGCCTTTATATCTTGACAGATCCCTGCGATAGCTATACGCTGTGGTGATAATAAGTTCATAGTTACCAAAATCATTGTCAGAAAGAAGCATATCCTTAACTTTGCTTTTTAGAAAAATCAATAAGGCTCTCAAACTCCAATGAGAAAGGGAAAATGGAAAAGCAATTAAAACAGAGTCACCTGTCTACTTCCCTGGCAGCATGAATAGCAAAATTCTTTATCCTTCGAGACGGTCTGAATATTTGTATAAACATTATGTGTCAGACTGTGCCGATGGCTTGTGCATGTGCGCTCATCTTAATTGTAGTGTGAGTGGCTTCTGCACTCAGCTGGTTTGGCCTTTTGTAGTGTAAAAGTTCCTTCTCATCTTTCCTAGCTGTTTTTAACACATGTATAAATTCACTGAAAGGTGGTACGGAGCTTTAACAGCCAAGATCAGTAACTCAGGAATGAGACCTTGGCAGCATTCCAGCATGAAAACCAACATGAGCATTTGCACCCGCAGCTGGGTTTGGGACACTCGCTGGAGCATCAGTGATACATTGTACCAGCAGTCCTCAGGACAGGGGTTTTGCATAATACTGAGGTGCTCTGATCTTAGGAATGGCCAGAATTTAATTTCTTCTTCCAACTGTTAATTTTACCCCATCACATCAGCTCTGCTGTTCGGGGGTCCCAGCTCTGTTTGGTTTGTGGGGTGACCCACATGAGTGGTGGCTTGTCCAGTCCTGGCCTGGTGAGCGAGGGTGGTGAGGAAAGAAAACAGTAATGAATATTCACTGCTGGGGACTTCATTTTCACCCTTCCCTTGTCACAAGCATCTTCTGTGATGTTAGGAAAATTGTTCAAAATAACATTTTCTCAGGTGATTGCTGGTTATATGATCCAGAGAGTAGAGGGCAGTGTTAATTTAAAAGGAATAGACTGGCTGCATAAGCTAAGTTGCCTTACTTAAATACTTGAATGCATAGAGACTTCCTGGTTATTACTCCTGTTAAAACTTTGCAAGGAGAAAATCCGTAGGAGGCACATAGGACTGGGTGTTTAAAAACACAGGAAAGGAAGAAAAGATTAGCAAAAAAGTGTTTTTAGTGTTGGTGGCTAATGCAAGCATATTTCAAAAGTGTCTGTGAGAGTTCACCCTGTGCATACAATGTGAGCAACTTTCTCAAGAGGACTCAATATTTCTTGAGGTTAACAAACTTCTTAGCTGGTCATTTACTTTCCTTGGTGGAAAGCCACTGAATTGGAAATCGTCGCTACCTCTTCTTTGTCCTTGCTGAGCTGGAGAGTCGGTTCCAGTGGACAGACAAAAGGTATATGCTGGTTTCTAGCCGCTTTCCTGTGATACTATGGATGGTTTAAGGCCAGCATCACCCTGAATTGAAGTAATGCAGACCCCAGTTGTCTTGGATATTTTGTGCTACGTATCAGTTATTTAATCTGTAACATTAACATAATGGCAATTTACTAGAAGATACAGAAGCTTTTAGGCAGCCTTTCGTAAAACTGCTTACTTTTGGTTCTTAATTGTATTTTTAGGTGTTTTTAATACTGTTTTTTATGGCAGTGAAATATTTTGAGGGTCATGCTCAAATACCCTTCATATTTTTGTAGGTACAGAGGGTGGCTTGCAAGACGCTTTTGTTATGTCCTTTTTGTGCAAGAGAGGGATGTTCATAAGGGTATGTTTGCCAAGAATCTGACAGAAAATGTGCTGAATAACAGCAGGTAAGATAATGCAAAATAAACAATTTTTTCAATGAGTGATACGCTATAATATGATTTAAGAATTTAGAAATGGCAGGTTTTGAAAGTCAGACTGTTTAAAATATTAGAAGATACAGTACCTTCAGCACAGCCTTTCAGGACTGTAGCCTGCAATTTCTGTTTGCATAGTAAAAGAGGGGAGATTAAGAATTGCAAATCTCCAAATGAATGATGTATAGTGGGTGGACAGCAGACACTACACAGAAAAATAAATTGCTACATGGGAACTTTTCAAATGTTTGTTTATCTAATTCATGTAAATCATCACTACTAAAGTCATACTGCAGTCATCAGAAATTGTCAGTGTTTCAGAAAGAATAGGAAAGCAGCATTTCAGAGTACCCTGAGTGTATACCAAGAGCGTGAGGCAAAACTGGAAAAAGGCTATAGAATGAAATACCCACCCTTTACTTTGTGGAGCTTGTTGTCTGTTTCATATACTGCATTTTAAATGGCACATTGAGCCCCTGATTAGCTATTAAGGTATCAGTTTTCTCTGGACACAAAGAAATTCAACCACATGCCCACTCCTTGAGTCCACTTTTGTCAGAGGGCACACACTGCCTACATTAACATTCCTAACTCTCCTGAATTTTTAATGTTTGAGTCCCTTCTGAAGATGATAGTGTTGCTTTTGAAAAGTAAAGCAGACTGCATTGTGCCGCAGTTATGGGGTGTTAAACCACTTAATCTCTCTTAAACATGTTTTAAATGGGGAAAAAAGCCCTTATAAAATTTAATTACACTTTGTAAAACTGAAAATTCAAGGGGGAGGATACTGCAGAAGTTCAAAATAGCAACTGCATAATTCTATCTAATGAGGAAAGTTAAGTTGCTGTGGCAGAAAAAAGAAAATATTAACAAAGAGGAGATTTCAACTGTTCTTTCTGCGTTTTTAACCTTTTTAACCATTTCTGAAAATTGGCAATCAATATCAGTACCTGTGAACTGTGTACGTTCTATTTTATATGGTCAACTTTGAGTGCATTCGTCTCTCATCCACCTGTTTAATCAGAGCTTAGAATACTACTGAATTAAACTTGGTGCATTTGGACTACACAGTACTTCAGTGTGCATATTCTTTTGTGCCTGCAAGTTACTCCTGTAGTAATATATAGCTCATTCCCAGCAGTTGTTTTCTGTGTCTTGGACTCTTCTGTTGTGGAACTCTCTCTTAAATTTTACTTTTTAATGTTAAGAGTCCAGAAGGCCATTGTAGATGAAGCTTCTGAACCAAGTGCTCCAGGTAGTTTTGCTCAAACGGATCCTAAAGCTATCAACAAAGTGAAGAAAAAAGCTAGGAAAATTCTTCAGGAAATGGTAGCAAATGTGTCACCTGCTTTAATCAGGTAAGAAAAATGGCTCATTAGTATTGTCAATGAGTAGAAGGACGGCCAAGTTCTCTCGGTATTATACCAGCAGAGTTAGTAACACATTATTCATAAATAGTGAATAATTATTCTAAAGAATAATGCATTATTCATGAAAGTCCCTTTTCTAATGTTAACTAATGAAATGGTAGTTTTTCTTCATTTTCATATGCAGCAGAAACCCTCTGCCTTTTCAAGGGATAAATCTTATGATAAGATTTTTTTCTTTTTATCCTGAAACTAAGTTTGGTGCTAATGCTTGGGCCAATATTGATATCCTTTGTTGTTTCAGGCTGATACAGGCAAGAGCAGCTAGCTGCAGCGTCTTAGACTGTGAAAGATCTGTTTTCCAGTAACCCACTGAATATCATAACCTATAAGTATAAATATCTCAGAGAGAGTGTTATCTCAGATAAAATCTTCTACTGTGGTGACTACTGTTACTACTTAGGATGAATTTGTCTCTGTCATGTTCCTAGTTCCCTTCACCAACTTTTGTGATTCAAACCCTATATTTTTTCTAACTATGTTAAGTTCTCCCGCAAGACCAGATACATGCTGTTACCTGACATGTCACCTAACTAGCTTAGTTATTATAATTGATCGTAGGACCTCCATTAACTTGCCCCATATGTAAAGTGGTCTCTGCCCTTTGAACAGCCTTCACTGAGGTTGACACTAACAAGTTTTGTGTCATAACTGTAGGAGGCTGAAAGTGGTTACTAACTGTGGCTTAGCTGATAGGCAAAAACTTGTAAAGCAGTTGGATTTTATAGTATTTTTGTTTGAATACAAAGTAAACAGATTTTATGGCTTTGCCTTTAGTCATATAGAAGCAATATAAAATGAAGGCAGAAATAAATGAAGCTTTTTGAGTTGTGTTTGTTCTTCCTTCAGGTTGACTGGCTGGGTGTTACTGAAGTTGTTTAACAGTTTTTTCTGGAATATTCAGATCCACAGAGGTCAAATAGAAATGGTCAAAGCAGCAACAGAGGTAAAGGAGGGTGGGAAAGAATCTAGTAAGGTAGATTTCTGATGTAGTGTCTATTAATGTTTACAGCACTTTCTCTTTTAGGAGAGTTCTGCTAAGTCTGTATGATACCAGATTGCAGATAGAACTGTCTCGTATCTGTGAAGTAGTGTTTTTAATTAAGTATAATGCTCTTTGAGTTGTGTAACCTAAAATACTGTGTGAACTCTGGTTTTACCTTTGTTTCAGGATCAAATTTTGACTATGAGGCTGAATGATTGTCTTAGATAACCTGCATCCAGCATTATTTCTTTTTTTGTGCTGAGGCAGCCAATAATAAATTAGTAGGTCTGTTTAGGATTTTTCACTCTTACCTTAATTTGGAATAAAAATCTTTAAGAAATAAACTTGTCCTGTTTCTTACTTGCAATCTGTTCCCCATCCTTCGATATTTATTGAAATTGGTCAAAATAACTCCTAAATTATACTATTTTCTTTACACTTAAAGGAATTGATTCTTTTTGCAGGATTTACCTTAGAAAGATGGATTAGATAAATAAACAAAAAAGGTTCCTACATTATCTTTTTATTATAGTATTTGGGAACCCCACTATTCATAGATCCTTGCTGATATCTAATAGAAAGAAATACTTTGGTGACACTGATGATTTGGCCACATCCCTTTAATTGTTCGATTATTGTCTCAATACTGCGAGTCTGAAGAAACTGGGGATATTAATCATTGTTAATGTAATGCATACAACTGAAAACTAAGTCCATGAAAATTAAGAAGTACAGTTGACTAAAGTGTTCTCATCATCACAGCTGAAGGAAAACCAGTAGACAAACTGCATAATAGTAACAGGAAAATACTATCGGTTCTGATAACATGATACTAGCGATCTTGATAATAGATTTAGAAAAGGAATAATATTCCACATTTCTTACCAACAGTTTTCTCTCTCTTTTTCCTTCTCTCCCCACCATAGATGAATTTGCCTCTTATCTTCTTGCCTGTTCACAAATCCCACATTGACTATTTGCTCCTTACATTCATTCTTTTCTGCCATAACATCAAAGCACCCTACATTGCTGCAGGGAACAATCTCAACATCCCCATCTTCAGGTAATAAGCACTTCTTATTTGAAAAAGACTGAGGTGGTGGGATCTTCAGGTGACCTATTGCACAATATATCTTATGTCCAAGTGTAAGATAATCTGAGTATTGGACCATCATGTAGAACTTCTTTAGTTCCTGTTACATGCTCAGAGAGAGAGCATAACAAAATCTGAGAAACTCTGTCAGACCCTACTTAGGAGTAGGGTAAGGAAGGATATTCCTTTCTTCTAGGAGTCTCAAGGTGGGTAGGTGACTAAGGAAAGATGAGTATGTGAAAAAGTGTTGCAAATGGACAGCTCTTCATGAAGTTTAATGAGCTAGCTAATCGTCAGCAACAATACTGAGTGAACAATACTTTGTGTGAAAGTACTCCAGTTTGGTCTCTGTTTAAATTATATTTCTGTTGACTGAAGAACCTAAGGTCTTTTAGGTAGTATTTTGCCAGTGAGACAGAATTTGGGGTTAACTGATTTCTGAAAAGCCACTGGATATTGCAGGAAATGATGAGGAAAGAAGGGGAATACCTTGACTTAGAGGGTGTTTTGTACCAGTAGGTACTGGTCTGTGATGATCCCATTAAGAAAGGCATTCTGACTCTATAAAGTATCAATTAAAAGGCTATTTATTAGGGCTAGCAGTATAAAGAAAGAGAGACTAGCAGAGGTAATCTAACATCCCTTTAGACACTCAGAGCCCTGAGTTGTGCAGCATCCAGTGGGCTTCCGATCCACGTGCAGCATGCCATGCAGACCCTATCTGCAGAAAGTGTTACCCTATTTTGGTTATTTGAGCTAGTATAGGATTTTCTTACAAGAAAACAACTTTATTCATCATTTCTTCTGTCAGGCAGAAAGGATGTTCTCATGAGGACTTCTCGCTGCACTGTTAGATAAAGGCAAGACCAAGCAGGTGCTGTAATTGATGGTGCCAAGTGGGAGCTGCCTGCAGGCTCCTCTGTTAAAATTATCTGGCTGAGCTGATCCTGCAGCCAAGGGATATGTGCAGTACAACGGGGGCACAAAGGCCGTGCTGTATGTGCAGCACAGCGCAGACTTGGGCCAGCTCAGGTTAACTGTTATGTGGGTCACCAACATCTCAATATACAGTAGTGTCCCGGTCAGGGTCACTGCAGAGGGTAGGTGGTCTGTCAAGGGAGTGAAATGGAGCAAGACGGGGTAGGGAAGCCTGTTTCTTAAGTTAAATAGAGTAATATTTGTATAGTCCTGTCATGTGCAAATAGTGTAATACATTTTAGTCTTTGAGAATTTCAGTAATTTCAGTTCCTGTTGCCTGCTAGGAATTTTGTACTGGACGTGTAGTTTCCTGCAAACTAGAATCAGTGAGTATAATTCTTCTTTCTTATGTAGCACATTGATCCGCAAGCTGGGAGGATTTTTCATCCGTCGAAAGTTAGATCAGAGTCCTGATGGTCGTAAGGACTTCCTCTACAGAGCTTTACTTTACGTGGTACGTATTTCTTGTCTTTGTTTCTGTAGGTAGCATTTCAGTCAGGTGGCAAGCAGGAAGGTGAGTTCCATCAGTCTGGGGATGTTTGTTACTGCTGTGAATTTGTCTTAGGTTTCATGCTGAAAAAAAGGGATCCGTTTTTGTATGAAGTCTTGAATGTATAAAATAAAAGAGAATTGAATGGCCAGCACTTTTGAGCATGAGCAGATTTTTACCTTGCGTAATCCTTATTAAAGGAAGTGGAATTAATGTTCTCTGAATTAACATTAAACTTAAGCCATGTTTCTCTGATTTCTTTTGTACTGGGGCATATCTACACTGATTCTGTTAACGGAAGTCTCTGTTTATGATGGGTTGATGCAATCCTTTGTGCCATTCAGTATAATCACTGTATTTGCATATTGGAAGGTGGGATGTACTGAGTAACCAGAAGGAGAGATGTATGCAAATTGGCTAGATCAACTGTTGCTAGAGATGCTGTTCTTGAGCAAATGACATTATACTGCTTGTATATTCATGCAGATTCAATTGCAGTTTGGTCTGGGTTTGTGTCAAGCATTAATTATTGCTTTTGTTTTTTTCACAAATATTCACGCCTACTCATGATCTTCTAATATTTTTAAAAGGAAATGGTTACTGACAATGTATTTCAAATGTGAATTTGCCAGTATAATTAGATACTTATTTTTTCGTCTTTTCCAATCTTTTTGTATTCAGCACATAGAAGAATTGTTGAGACAGCAGCAGTTTTTAGAAATATTCTTGGAAGGCACGCGGTCTCGAAGTGGAAAGACATCAGGAGCCAGAGCAGGTCTTTTATCTGTGGTGGTGGATGCTCTCTTCTCAAATGCTACTCCTGACGTCCTAATTATACCTGTGGGAATCTCCTATGATCGCATAATTGAAGGTCACTATAACAGTGAACAGCTGGTAAGAGCAAATGAACAGCTTGTTTAACCTGGGGGATTTTCTGTTTATGTGCAGGAAAATGTGTTACATAGTAAAATGATGTGCTAGTAGTCCTCTGTCACATGTACTTGGTGTTAGTGTTGAAGAGCATAGAGCCATGAATCACAAAACCTCAGACAGGGAATGTTGAGGTATGACTGACATACTTCTGAATGCAAATTCATGACGTAAGAAATAATATGTTTGAGTGGGTATCTATGGAAAAAAATAGTTCTCTGGATTTACTTGAAGTTACAAGGTGTGTCAAAAGACAGCCTTGTTTGATCTGCTGTTGCATGCATTTTAATTTTAAACATAACCTTTTAATTGCAAATTGGAAAAAACCCAAACCAACCACCTATGTTTTCCAGGGCAAGCCTAAGAAGAATGAAAGTCTTTGGAGTATAGCTAGAGGAGTCTTCAGAATGCTGCGCAAGAATTATGGGTGTGTCAGAGTAGATTTTGCACAACCGTTTTCCTTAAAAGTAAGTTTGATATTTTGAAGATCCTTTTGAAGGTTTGACCTTTTTGATGTTTCAATAATAGGACACATTTATTTTGATTTTTCTCTTTGTGGGTTACCATCGCTAGCGTTATCTGCTGAAGTCCATTCCAGCGGGACAAAAGCATCCCTGTTTTGCTGAATGTGGGAGTCTTCGGACACGTTTGTGTTAAACTGAAATAGTCTCAGAGTTGATATAAAGGATTATATTAGTTTTGAAATGGTATAAGTATTCTTAGTGGGGTTCTTGGTTCGTTTGCTTTGTTTTAACAAACAATCTTTAAAATGATCCCTGTCCCATGTCTACATTGTAGACATTTGGAGTTGAAGGAAACACAACTCCAGTTCTCTAGTTTAAGTAATTTAATGGCTTACAGTATTGTTGAGGAAGGGCATTTGTCTCACTGGATTTTTAAAATTGCTAAGCAAATTAGTAGCTATAAAAGTATCATGGATAATACATCATAAAAATCTTCATATTCTTTGAAAGTCGTAGTTCGTTATTAGTTTGTAACTATTACCTACTCTGGTTCACCAAATACTGTTGTGTAGTTTCTCAGGGAATGTGGTGGTGCAGTGGTATCTGCCTTCACTTTTTAAATTTTCTCTGATATCTTCGCAGAATCTGCTAGTACTGTACTTACCTGCATTTCACTAATCTGTCTTCTGCTACAGTATACCTTATTTTTAGTGTGACTTTAATAAGATTAACTACTGTAACAACAACCTACTGGAACATTATTCAAATTAATTAGGTGTTCTTCTTTCTGCCCTACTTCTCTCAGAAAAGCAGTAGGTTGGAGAGCTTTGGAGGGTTCAATTACCACAGCATGAAATTATTGTGACTGTCTGCACTGCATTATAATTAGCGTAATAGGGAAAGAAATTCCAAAGGAGAAGGCTTGGGCTATTCTTGGTAGGGAGTTAACAATTGTTCTTGGATCAGTATAAGGAAAAGAAGGTTATCTGCCCTCTTAATCTAGTGAAATGCTAATCACTCTATACCTTCCTAGCAACCTCAGTCACATCTCATTTGTATGTGTATTCAGTTTTGTACTCCAGAAAGGTAATAAATGACATAAATGGTTTAAATATGCCTTAACCAAGAATTGCAGAAGTGTAACAGCATTTTTAAATTGATGTAGTTACGTCGCTGCAGATTTTTCTAAAGATGAGCTTTGGGGGTTAATTTTGGGCATCTGCAGTTCTGTGAGGACAGGCTTAGAATCAGAAGGGAGTGAGCTGGCTGTGAAAGTCTTTTAAGCAGCTTTCCTGGGAGGGAACTGTTTTCCTGACCAGCAGGTTAAGTGGCTCTTTATAAAGACTGATGTGGGAAACTAGAAGCTGAAAGAACACAGTGTCCTGAAAACAGAATATGTAAATGCTAACCTGTAAGGCGAGGTGTTTGGCTTTTGAGAAATTCGGGGTTCAAGAATTCTAAGGATGTGGCACTGTGAGGAGTCTCACAACTGGAGTTTCTACACTAGTGTTTACCTATGGAGAAGTTCCTTGTCCTGGCATTTGAGGAAAGCAGCAGCAAGCAATAATTACAGTCTCCATGTTGGTTCTGAATAGGTATTAGACTTTGCTCTTACTCATGTTAATGAAGGCAGTTCTCGTCAATTTAATCATGGAGAAGCTAGTCTCTAAGGAGTTGTTCCCAGCAGGGTGCTGACCGGGGTTATGTATTGGTTTTTTTGCAATGTTTTTCATGAAGTACAGATTCCTTGCTGTGGGAAGCCTGCCTTTTCATAAAATAAAATCAAAAGCGAATAAACTGTTGAAAATTTTTAATTTCTGTGACCTTACTACTGCTCTTTTAGTGTGAGCTATTTTTAATCACAGTTGCATTTTTGAATAATTACCTTTTTTGTATAGTAATATTATCACTTGAATGCGGGAATAAGGTGGAAAAAGTACAAAAAATAAGAAATCTTCTCTTAACAGGAATATGTAAACAGCCAAAGCCAAAAACCTGTGCCTGCTTCTCTTTCTTTGGAACAAGCTTTGTTACCAGCTATACTTCCATCAAGGTAGAGATTTTTTGGGTGTTGTGGAGAGGGAGGACAGGTTGGGGTTTTTTTGCTTGCTTGTTTGTTTGTCTCTTTAGTATTCTGCATTACATTCCAAGCAGTGTTTGAACTCCCCAAGGGTAATCTAATTGTGTATAGAAAAATGAAAAACTTAGGAAATTGTAACTGTGCAATTTATTACGAGGTGCATTCTTTCTGGGGAGCTCTGTTTAAATAAGCTTGAGGAGGCTTTTTTTTTTCTTATTGTAATTTTAGTGACCTCTCTTGGTTTAATTTTAAATTTTATGGAATAACTTAGGAAAATATGACACATGGAATGAAAAATGAAGGATTTGGTTTTAAACCTCACAAGAGATTCCTTGCAAGACTGCAATTTTTCTTTTGGTAGTCTTACCTTGAATTGTGGTTTAGTATGAAGAAATAATCTGGAAAAGTTGGTAGACATTAAAATTTTTGTGGAACTTGTTATGTATAACATTTTTGTGCCCTTACCAGACTGCATAGTGGTATTTTGCACTGTAGTTCAGTTAGTGTATAAAAATAAAAAATCAGCCTAGATTATTTTATATTTTGGTCAAAATATAAATGTGATAATGTGAATTTTTCTTCTGTATTCAGACCTAATGATACTGTGGATGAAGGTACAGAGGCCTCACTGCCCAACTCCAGGGATATCACCAGTGAACCCTTCAGAAGAGAGCTAATATCCAACTTGGCTGAGCATATATTGTTCAGTAAGTGTTATAGTATGAATTAACTTGCTGTTTGGTAATGTCATACTTCCCAATTCCCTCCATTCAGGTGTTCATTTCATGACTTCACATGTTCTCTTGACAATTATTCATCCTTTGCCTCCCTCCCTCCTCTTCAAAGTTTAATAAACTCTCTCTGATTAAGTACAAGCTTTTTATTGTTTGTTTTGCTAACTTTTGTATTCCTTGGACTAGTGTACTGATCTTGCTGTACTCTGAAGTGTTTGATTGTCGTATTGATGCACTGATTTCTTATCACTTCATGTAAGAAGTTATTGCAGTGTCTTAATGGAATTATTTAAGATCATAGTTGCATGAACTCATCTAGCTGCGTGGACTGGTGTTGCCAGGTTTTATAGATTACGTGGTGTATGTGTCAGTCAGTAGATCCGTGATTTGTGGTATGAGAGATGCATACAAAACAGTACGTATCTTAGTAAACATTTAAGCTTTACTCAGCTGCCTTAGTTCAAGTTACTTTAATTTGATTAGTCTAATATTGTTACTATATAGACATAATATACTTTTGATTTCATTCAGAAGGTATGGTACTGTGTCAATATTACTTTTTTTTTTTTTTTAAATAATGGGTACTCTTTCACTTGTAATAATGTTCTGAACTTCTCAGGTGCTTAACAAGTTTATCTGGTTTACCTCTAGCTGCTAACAAGTCCTGTGCTGTGATGTCTACCCACATCGTTGCCTGTTTGCTGCTGTACAGACACAGGCAGGTAAGGCTTCCATGCTATGTAAATAGCCAAACATTGCTTTGCCCTTGTTAGTTAAAAAAAATAGTATGCATTTTACTATTGCATGATACTGATAAAAGAAGAAAGATGCATTTAAATTAAAATGGATTTCAGGTAGTCTGAGTGCTAATATTTTAGTTAGTATTGGATGCTTGAAGATAAGCCATTGTTGATGAGATGATAATAAATACTCATGTGGAAGTAAATTTTTGTAATTCAAAATGTAGTTATGCTTTTTTTAAAGAAGACATGGTTTAGGTTCATTTTATTAAGATTGTTTCTAGATCTCAAACACATTCACCATGAAATATGCTAGAAAATGTTCTGTTAATTTTCAAATTAGTTTTGCTGTTCGTTGGTACTAAAATATTATAGCATGATGGCAGAATGACACTAATGTTTAGCTGAAGTCTTGTGTGTGGGGATTGGAAGAAATTTTATTTCTCCTACAAGTGTATTTTGTGTTTTTTTTCTGAAATTACTTCTCCCTCTAATCTGAAGTTTTATTGCACATAAATTGAGAAGAAATTGAAAAATATTGATCAGATATGTAATCTTGCTTGTCAAGGACAGTATCACTGTTCCTGTCAGTCCAGTCTTTCCAATTTCCTAAAACAGTGGGATCAAAGAAGCATTTTATAATGTGATGCGAAGCTATCTTGACAAAAAACAAGGAAAGGAAGTGCTTGAGGAAAAGCTTTTCCTCATATCCCCAAGCAATTGAAAAGTTCTGTTTATTGCAATACTCCCAAATAAGCGATCAGTCATTTTATAGCATAGGGAATGGAAATAAGGTATCTCTAGCATGTTCTTGAAGAACAACTCGGGTCTCTCCAGGTTATGAAATAAACCAAGAAGCAAACAAAAAACTTGCATTCCCAAATAGCTGCCTGGCTTTAAAATTTAACTGCTTATAATTCAAACCCTGTAGACTATTTCAGCAAAATCTCTGTGAAAATAAGTTTTTCTAATATGATGTGCTTTGGATTATTGACAATTACTGTATTGTTTATGTATTTCCTATATACGTAGTTATGTGGTTTACAGATAAACTCTTGCGCAGAAAAATTGTTTCACTGTGTGATTCTGTTCTTACTTCTAGGGAACTGATCTTTCCAGGTTGGTAGAAGATTTCTTCTCCATGAAGGAGGAGGTCTTAGCCCGTGACTTTGACTTGGGATTTTCAGGGAACTCAGATGATGTTGTCATGCATGCCATCCACCTGTTAGGGAACTGTGTAAATATCACAAACACTAGCCGGAACAATGAGTTCTTCATCACTCCCAGCACAACGATACCTGCTGTCTTTGAACTCAACTTCTACAGCAACGGAGTACTTCATGTATTCATTAAAGAGGCCATTATTGGTATGTTTTGGGGAAGGAAAGACTTACTTTGACTTCATTGGTTACAAGAATCTAGACAAAAAAACTCATCAGTTTTTCATGTAATTTACTTATATTTCTTCCCTCCCTGCTTCAGCCCATGTTTGCCCTAACAAAAACAATTTTAAAGTAAACTTGTGTTTTGTTTGTGGAATGTTTCCAGTCATTTTTCCCATCATCCCTTATCTTTTGTGGAAGTATTTGTGTATTGGTCACTGCCATAGGCAAGGCACTATCAGAGCTTTGAGCCAGCATGCCAATATCTGTGCTCTGATCAGCAATATTTTAATGAGGTTTTGTTTTGATCTGACATTAATTGGACACAAACAAAATAGCGGTGTGTTCTTCAATTGCATGTGTAACATTTGACTGCTTTTAAGCCTAGAAATAGACAAAACAAAAGTTTTAAGTTTACATTGCTATAAAGCTCTTTGGAAAAATAAACTTTGCTTATGTTTGTTTCTACTCTAGCCTGCAGTCTTCATGCAGTTCAGAGTAGGAGGTACAGAAATGGTACCAATGGTGCTTCTCCCAGTTTGATTAGTCAAGAACACCTGGTCCGAAAAGCTGCCAGCTTGTGTTACTTGCTTTCTAATGAATTTACTGTATCTTTGGTAAGTAAGTAGTTGCATTAATTGTCCAGGTTTCAAATTTTTGTTCTGCTTGTAACTGCTTATGTTACTTTAAAATTAATTGATGCTTTCTTCAGTGTCACGGTTCTGATATGTTCACTACAAGTACAGTCTGATGATAATGGATATCAAGAAGTTGAATATAATTTGAAAAAAGGAAGATAGTGTTGTTCCCATTTGCTTCAAGGAAATGTCTGAATGTTTGAATGAATGTAGTTCCATCAGAAGAGTTTATCCAAAAGATGGCTGGCCTAAGATAACACGTGAATTAACTTGCCAGGCTCCTGTCACTACCTTGTTTCCTTGGCAAGATGTGACAAAATCAGTTGATCCCATTTTGGGGATACATACTGAGTGTACGCCTGCTCCTCATGCGAGTGCTGAAGTAGGCGATGCTGAGGTGAGCCTGCAGCATTTCTACTGTGGTGGCTTTAGGCCTTCCCTGAGAAAGGAAAGCTGCTTACTCTGTCAGCTTCCCACAACTTGGCTTAGGAGAAGATTGGGCTACTTAATGCCTTCTAACAGATTCTGTGTTGCTTATGTCATTAGACTATCACAACTGTATCTGCTTTCTGCTCAAACTATTTAAACATTCTTTTACCTAAACACACACAAATCTTTGAGAGTACCCAGCTCATGAGAGTTTGCATAGATGATTGGAATTATGCTGGGAACTAAGGCTCCAGATTCTAAAGAATCTTAATTTGCATAGGAGTGCAATAGTCACAGTGTGCCACACCTAGCAATTAGTGGCAGTTTTAAACATGGCATGACTTTGGTTTTTGTTTTCTTTCAAAATACTGAAGAGAGCTGATGTTATCTCAGTTTTCAGACACTCTGTATACTTGCAATTTTAAGTGTTAGGTATTTTTTTTTCTTCTGTGTAGAAGTTACTTAGAGTTCTGGAGATTCTTGAATTAGTTCTTAAATTTGTACACATATTTCTGACTCATGCTTTTTAAATGAAGCATAAGACCAATTTAGTAGTTTTATCTGGACAGTAATGTTGCTCATATGGTGGGGTTCTTTAGTAACCTTATCCTTCGGCTTCCAGAGTTACTAATCTTTTTTTTTTTTTCACTTAGAAAATATTTCCTACATGATTATGAATAATGTAAAAGATGTTGGCTTTTTATTCAGAGTTTCAAAACAAATAAGGGGATTTCTTAGAGGTGTACTTTCATTTGAATCCCAAATAAGTCACTGGTATATGTGTCAGTGATTTTAGTTTTATGATTTTATTCCAGAATTGTTAACAAACTAAAATCTGGTTGGAGACAATTAAAAGGGGAGAATATTTAATGTGTTTTTCTACCTGTGTAGTAATGCATTTCTTCAAAAAACTTGAACAAATTTTAAATATCCTGTTTCACTGTAATTTTTTTAATATCTGCCTGTCTGCCAGGATAAACCTAAGAATGATGCATTAGGATTATGCTGGTAAAAGTTTAATAACTTGCTTAAAAGGAGTAATACTGTATCTAAAACATTCATAGTGAACAGGGAACTGGTGTTACTATCATGGGTATAATTGATGTGATTTTTTTCAGTGCATTTCTTTTATGTTGTGCAGCCTTGCCAGGTGATATATCAAGTTTGCCATGAATCTGTGGAAAGGCTGATACAATATGGCATTCTTCTGGTGGCCGAGGTAAAGTGATAGAGATACTAAGTGAGCTTTGTTTCTTGTACTTGACTTTAGCCATAGGTATTTTATGCTTCTTAGTTGTGAGTCTTGTTCTAAATAGATGCTGTCACTGAAAGCTTCTAACATCTTCACAAGTCCAGGGCTGATATGACTTCATTCTTACATTTATAAGCGTCAGACATTTGGGTATAGTCATCCTGTGATGCTATGAATGATTCTGTATGTAATTTCATTGTACCATTAAACCTACTAAGGAGGACACATATTTTATACTATCTTGTAAAATGGGGATTTATTTTATTATTGGAGCCCTTTCAAATTCTAGCATAGCTACACGGATGTTTACTTTCTACTGTACAGGAGTCAGTAGTCCAGTTCTTTTGTCATTCTTTGATTCCTTTGCATCAATCTTGAAATTATTGTAAACCTCCTTTGCTAGCACATTTTGCAGTTTCAGGGATGTATTGGAGTCGCTATGTGGTGCCATCTGCCAGAGGCGAACAGTGTAAAGAAAACCTGGGGACTAGGTGGCAGCTGACTCAGCATACCTTTGCTTCCCAAACTTTTTTTTGTGCACAGTAAACAAACCTTGGCGCCCAGGAGGCAGCAGCAAAATTTAAAGAGCACATGGAAAAGGAGTTACATATTTGGCTGCTTTCTTCTTGCAGCTCTCCAGTTTCAAAGGAGGCTAGAGCTGCTTCTGATGTATTTGTTAATGACCACTACTTCACTCTAATCTTACTGCATACCTTTTGATACATGCTTCCATTTTTAGTGTATGTATCCATAGGTACTATTTACTTGATATACCTGGATATTAAACATTCTCTTTCTTTGGAGTTAACCGCTGCTTGCTTTTTATCTGAATGACTAGCATGTTGTCATGCATTAGATTATAATAACCATTAGATAAATCAAAAAACGAAAGCTAGTCAGAGGATTAGGAAGAGACCTGTATGTTCCATGCCTGGGGACAGATGAGGAAAATAGGTGTGGACAGGAGTAGATATGCACCTCTGTCTGTTAAAGCATGAAGCCTGTCTTGAGGGTTCTTCTATAAGGTTTGGTTACTGAGTCTGGTACTTTGCTCTTTATAGCTGGGATACAGATAACTGTTAGGCAGTATATAAATATTTGTCTGTGTTGTCTGATACATACCACGCGTGCAGCATTTGAGTGCTAGAAAAGGAGATATATTCCATCAGCAAATTTCTTACACTTAGAAAACCTCCGTACCTGCTTACTACTTTTACAGTGTTAAGAATTTGCATAATCAGTGCAAACACTGTAAGCAATGGTTGTTTCATGACTTCAGACAGGTTGGAAATGTTTGTGGGGTTTTTACAACTTATTCTCTAAGAAAGGTAGCTAGCTTCTGCCCCTTCTAATTATTTCAGTTTACTGCTGACATTAACACATTAATAAATTTCCCATTAAATTGAGCTTAATTGACCCATGCTTTTTTAAAAAATTCTTTTCCTGTGCTTCTGGTGTCTGCTTCAAAAACCAAGAAATATTCCTAACGCATAGTGATCTCTTTGGTACTTTTTCAAACTTACTTTGTGACCTGTGCTTCATTCAAAATAAAACATTTGATCAGAGTGTAAGATTGGAAGGATGTCATTCTTCATTTGCTGCAGAGGCCTTTTTCTTTGTTATGACAGTAATTGCATCTACAAGGTCTCTGTTATTCAGTTGATTCCGTTTGATATCCATGGTTATCCATGGTTGTTATCCATTCCAATCGTTCTGTTCTGCTGCTTTGAGCAAAACAAATAATGGTGAATGATTGACACTAAGGCTTCTCTTATTCTTTTGAGTGTGTGTTTACTATCTCTAAAACTCATTTCTGAAGATGCATTGTTGAAATTGAATGTTGCATGAAATAGAATTGGTCAGGTGGAGTATTTCGGTTGCATCTCAGTTACTGTACACCTGAACTTCTGACATACCTGCATCAATGTAATCAAAGTTTAAACAATTTGTGGCCTTTATGATTAAAACTGGCTCATTCTGTTCCAACCAGTATCTCACATGGGGACAGATGTAAGAACAGCATCATCAGAGGCAGTAGGTTACCACTTCCAAATAGCAACATGTAGCATTCTGCATCAATTGAGATTTTAGCTATTGTAATATAATAACACAGAGTTTACTACTCTGTCTGTAAGGCAACAGTAGTATGGAGGTTGGCAACAGTAGTACGAAGGTTAGCAACATTCATATCCAGATAACATCTCGGATTTTCTATCCTAACACAACTGAAACCGCTTTCTTGGCAACTGCTACTGCATGGCCTCTGGTAGGAAGATTCAGCAACACATGCAAAGATTTTTACTTTTATGTGACAGGCAAACTAAAGAAAACCAGTCTTTTTCACCAAATATCTCTACTCTCTGCTTGTCTCAACTCTGTCTATAATTGGGTCTCACTTGCTTCCATTAAATATTGGTTAATGAATGGACTGATTAAGTCAGGTGAGTTTATAAAATAAACCTATTGTTTGCCTGGATTTGGGTTTTTTACCTATTTACCACCTTATCTTTCAAATTTAAGCAGGATGATCAGGAGGATGTTAGCCCCAGTCTTACAGAACAGCAATGGGATAAAAAACTTCCTGAGCCATTGTCTTGGAGAAGTGATGAGGAAGATGAAGACAGTGATTTTGGAGAAGAGCAGAGAGATTGCTACCTGAAGGTAATATTATCCTAAGGCTAATAACATTGAAACCTGTTGTGAGAGGTGCAAACTACTTTACTAGTTCAGGAGGGGTAATGATACCGTGGGGTTTTTTTTGCTGGTTCACAGTGTTACTCTGTTGTATCTTGCTACAGTCAGTAAAACACCTTTCCCTCTTTCCCATGAGGAAAACAGCTGAAGAAACATCAAGTCATCTTATAGGGAGCTGGAAGGGCAATGATTAATGTCATGAAAACTGATAAATGCTCAAGTATCTTAGTGTCTAAATGTTTTATTCTCTACTGACAGCACACACTCTAAAAGGAGCACATCTGGCTGGTATTTATTTTCAGCCTAAATTTCACTTCATAGATTGATCATGTTGATTTTAAACATATTACCAGTTTTCTCACAGAGCTGACACAAGCACTCTTTAGGGTATCTTGTTAACACTTGGAAACTTATGTCCATCTCTGTGAATGTATGGCAACCTTTCTGTTGGCTGCAGAACAGTATGATGTCTTTAATTTTATCTTAGGAAAACAATTATAACCTGGAGGCAAAAAAAGTGGCATTGATCTGTTACGTGCAGTGCCTGTTTTGTCCCTTGTGGTAACCTGCTTTTTTGCTATGCTTTCATAATGTGCTGTGTTGTGTCCTCGAACTCCTTTTTGTACTAAGAATTATTCCAGCTGCTGTTTTACCATGCACTGCCTTGCAGGTCATTTCTTGTTTCACTGTGTTGTGTCCTCGTACTCCTTTTTGTACTAAAAATTATTCCAGCTGCTGTTTTACCGTGCACTGCCTTGCAGGTCATTTCTTGTTTCCACTGATCTCTGTCACTTAAGCTCTTGTTGCCCTTTCTTAGGTGAGCCAGTCTCAAGAGCACCAGCAGTACATCACTTTCCTGCAGAGGTTATTGGGACCTTTACTCGAGGCATATAGCTCTGCTGTCATCTTCGTGCACAATTTTAGTGGTCCTGTTTCAGAGTCTGAATACCTTCAAAAGTTACACAGGCACTTAATAAGCAGGACGGAGAAGAATGTTGCTGTATATGGTATGTTAAACTGGTTTTGGAACTGGATTTAGTTCATTCTGTGCCTCCTAGCACAAGGTAGCCTGAATTCAATTGCAGTTAGTTTATCTCTGGATTTTCTTTCTTGCAGCTGAGAGTGCTACCTACAGTCATGTGAAAAACGCAGTGAAAGTCTTTAAGGAAATTGGGGTAAGTGTTCAGTGACCAGAGCTGGAGACTGTTAAGTTTCATTTTAATAATGAGCACAATTTTGACAATTCCTGGAACCAGTTCAATATCATTTTAAAATCTGTGAATGTATCTGTGCAAAGGTATTGTGGGTTTTGAGTGTTTTGCTTTCCTTAAAGCTTGGGGCTGTAGGAGAAGAGCACACATTGCAGAACAGGGCACTTCTTGCCCCTGAGAAAACCTATCTAGATGAGGGCTAGGTGACTAGACATTTTTATTCACAGCAAATGAAGTTCCTCTGCTCTACTTCATGTCCTTATTGGACATCAGTGACAAAGTTGGAAGGCTGAGAGCATGCTCTGTGCTTAGTAACAGCTAAATTTAATTTTGAAGGACTACTTAAATCTTCAAAAAGTATTATTGAATTTTGGCTTAGGGGTGATTGGTGCTCCAGGAGAACCATCCTAACAGACCTCCAGTGTCCATCATGAGGATACAGGTGTTCTTTAAAATAAAGGATCAGTTTTGCACTTTACCAGTAGCATTTTGAATTTAAAATCATCTGCCTAGATTTTGCAAATGAGGAGTTTTTCTTTAATCAGAATGACATGGCTTCCTGACTGCCAGATGGGATTTAGCATTACAAGTTTGAAAAGATCAGCATTTAGGCAAAGTATTGCTAGATAAGGGTTTTGAAGTCTTTGTCCTTTAAATTCTGAGGTATTAAATAATCTAACAATGGTTAGCCTATAGTAAAGCCTATAGTGAAAGTACCTTCCTGTAGACTGTAAGAGCTGTGAAGAAAGCACATATCAAATCCATCATTTTAATTCTAGTTTATTCTGCTGTTGGAAAAGTGGAACTAGATAGCATCTGCTGAGCATCTATTCAGAGCATAGCATCTGAATTCTTCTTTTCAAAGTGCTTACACTTTCAATTCAGACACCCTTTGAGTGCGTGTTTCATCGCTCGCTGTTAAGAGTTGGCTGTTTATCATACACTGTGCTTAATTCTCAGTTTTTCTTCTTCCGTACCACTTGAAGGGCTTCAACATTGAGTGAATTCTAATGATATCTAAAGGCATTGCCATCTAAGCCTTCAGGAAAGGAAAAAAAAGTCTTGTAAATGAAGGCAAATTTAGTATAGACCATAGAATTTTAGTTGGAAAAGAAAGGAGATTCCTTTAACATGGTGATACTTACATACATTCATGCTGTTCTTTAGGTTTTCAATCAGACAAAACAAAGAAGAGATGTCATTTTGGAACTAAGCACTACGTTCCTACCTCAGCGCAACCGGCAAAAACTACTGGAATTCGTCATGAGCTTCATGGTATTATAGACCACATATAGCACCTTTGTCCAGGGACATGAAGACAGGTTTAGAGACTGTGTCAAAGCCTGGGGACATTTGCTAATCCTTCAGAGTGTAAGGTGCCACTGTCTGGGTAAGGCCTCCTCTGACTTGAACTACTGGAAGACAAGTGCCTTCTTACGTATGCATTTATGGGTTTCTTACAGTCCCAATCCTGTTGTAATACAGCAATGCTCAGATGACACTTTGGATACAAGTAATTAAACATGTTGCAAAAAATAAGATAAATTATTAGAATTAGATTTAAAATGAAGAGTGAAATTTTATCAGTGTTACATTTTAAATATACTTTTAAAGACTGTAACAGATGCACAAATACACGTATTGGCGATCTGTAGCTAACCCTGAGATCTTGAGTTTAGTGGCAACGCAGCTTATGGCATAAACAAGTAACTTTCATTCCGATTCAGTTTTATTGTTTTAAATAAAAGTTTTAAAAATTTTGCTTAGGCAGGATATATGTTTCATGGATAAAGCCATAGTTTTTCATAAAAGTTAACATAAATGCCAAAATTCTAGTGACAATAACAGTTACAGACATCTGAGAAGAATGATCATGTAGCAGATGATTGTGGGAAACGTCAGCAGGCACACCTTGCACTAGTAGAGCTGTGTAGTGCAGTGGTAAATTGCACTAATCATTGCTGTCATGAAGAATGTGAGAGTAGCGTTCTTGTTTTTATTATGGCATCTGTCATTCAGAATGATGAAAGTCAGGAGACAGTTGCCTGAATGTGAATATCTTGTAAAATCTTAGATTATTATTTAATTGAAAAAAGCTATTAAGTTTGTTGGTTTTGTTTTTTGTTGTTTTGTTTTGTTTTTTTTTTTAATTAATGGGATGTCAGATTTTTTTAAAAGTGGAGTAAAAACTTGATTTGGTGAAATAATTTTTAATTTTAGCCCTAAAAGTTTCAGCAATAACTTTTGCAATTCTTTGGAAACAAGTGTTTCATATTCTGTTGTATTGTTTGTATTCTGTTGCTGAGCAGACCTAAATTGGCATGAATTAGTAACCTGTAGGAACACAGAAATACAATGAACAACATACTTTTGACTCTGATCTAATTGACTTACCAAAAAAAAGAAATTTGTAGACAAACCTGAATGATGAATAAATTCTGTCCTATGAAACAGGACTCTGGTGTTGCGATTTGATCTTTTTTGCATGGAGGACTTGCACTGTAGATTTCATCTTCTCTTCATGTGAGTGGAGATAAGATTGCAACCTGTAGTCCTGTATTTTAGTACAGCTGATCTAGCTGAAGCAGTAACGGTGGTATGTGAAGCAGGTTTGCTTGAGAAATGTGTTTCTCCTCATTTAGATTGCCTTCTATGTGAGGGAAATCAAACATTTCAATTACTGCAGTGTTTCACTTGATTTTTGCATCTTGGCCTTGTGAACAGAAAATCCCCCAAACTTCGTCATGTAATCACTGTTGCTTAACATAAATTCAGAGAAGCATACTTGAATCCCAGAACTTCCGCTGTTACGCCAGCACAAAACTGATGCACACAATTTGAGTTTGTGGCCAAGGAGCTTGCATTTGTACTGCACATTTGTCAACAAGAATATTTCTGTATGGTTTTTTTATTAAATGCTTTTAATATTTGAAACCTGCAGTTTATAGTTTATTAGCATTATACTGTTAGCACTGTGAGACGCATGTGTTTTGTCACTAAACCAGGTGCTCTACAACACTTAAAGAATTTCTGAACCAAAGCTACATTAATATGGATAGAAACTGACCCTCGAGTCGCTTTTGTTCTTATGTCCTTCTGCTGTCTCAGCAGCATAGTGACTACATCGCCCATGATTTGTTTTGTGAAGTCTACTAGCTATTTAGAAAACAGTTTCATCTCATACTAGCTGATGTGCGCTGTTCGTTAACCTGTTGAATGCTCCATACAATAGTTGTTGCTGATGGCTTCCATTTAATGTCAAAAAAAGACCAGGTGCTTCTGAATAACGAGCCCTCATAGTTTACTGCATTTCAGTAAATCTGAAGTGTACTAACAGCAAAGATTGTACATAAAAAAAGATTTTTAAAAATGAAGCAATATGAAGCAAACAAAACTTGAGTCATTTTATTAAGAATGTTCTGCCAACTGATGTATTAGTTACCATAAAAGCCAGGAGTAGTGTGGTCACTGGAGTGTTCTGGCTAGAAGTTGCAACTAAGATCATTTATAGCTTACATTTAAAAAAAAATAAAATAGAAAAACTAAATCTGGTTAATAGAAATCAATGAGTGGGTAGGGTAAAATGCATGTGTATATACATTAATACATTTAGTATGCAGAGGGAGGGGGCACTTCTAAAACTGGTTTGTTTTTGTATTAAAAAAACTTGCATGTGAGAAGTCAGTACTACAAATCATATGCCACTGGAAGCCTTTGCATTCTGCAGCAAATGTGTATGTATACATATATATGCAAATGTATATATTATGACACACAACAACTATGCTTTTCCCTGAACGTAAAGCACAGAATATAAAATTATCAGGCTGTAACAGTCAAAAACTAAACCCAACACTTTTGCACTGTATTTACACCTTCAGTGTCTTCTGATTTTATTAACCTCTCATGTTCCCTTTGCTGATAGAATGCCAGGTTGAGTTAATTCCAGTAAAGTTAACCAGTAAAGAAGAAAGGACTGGCCCTGAATTACCACAAATGTGTTTTAAGATTCTCCTCTTACAAAGACTTATATGAGTCTCATCATTCTTATGAGCATATTACTCAGGTGTGCAAGTCTTTTTGGGCCAGGATCTTTCATGATACGAGAAACTTAATCTTTCTATGTACATCCTGTAGCTCTCACCTTTTTAGAGTGACAAAAATGTAGAATTCCACTTCCCATGCTGCCACAGCTACCCAGACCCCCAGGGATCATAAACTTTGTAATACATTTACTGCCTACTCACACTGATATCGGAGGCATACCTGCCTTCTCTTTAACAGTATAGGGCTTTATTCACCTATCTGATGAGGAAGCATATACACACACTTGCATTCAACTGCCTGCCTGCTCCGCAGAGAAGTATCAGAATCACCATGTACAAGAAGGTTGAGCTGGGAGGTGATGTAAGATGCTGTTGCTCTTGTGTTTCTGTGCTAATGAGCCTGATACTGCTTCCTTGAGAATGTTACCACATTTTACCTGTTATGTGTAATGCCGTGTCTGTTGTAAAAGCACAGAGGTGTACTGGAGTCATTTTAATAAATTAAATTGTTTGCTAATATGACATTTAACAAGCTCTTCTAGTGTTTTTTTTAATTTTTTTTTTTTTTTTTAAATAACCTGCTAAGGTAATTCATTCAATAACTTTGTCCCATTCCAGGTAGTTTCTGAAATTAAACTATGAAAATCTTTCATTGTGGATGTATCTTTACCAGTGTATGTACTGGAGCAGAACCGTTTAAAAATCAGATTGAGGTGACATCCTGACTCCTGAGTCACTGTCTGTTTTGTTGTGAAGCGGAGATGCCATTTTGCTTCTCTATTTCTCCATCCCCACAAGGCTCTTGTACGTGGCTTCCTCTTTTAAAGTTCCTCTTGCCTTACAGGGAGGTGGGGGTCATTCAGGAGTCTGGGACGGCTCTGGTGCTGCAGACTATCCCTTCTTGTGGAGATTTGAAGCTGACAGCATCTGGCAAATGTGAATCAATTGGAGTGGGGCTTTAATATAATAAAGCCTGCATAGATGATCATTACTTAAATTGAGGAGGAGGGATGCTGTTTCACTCTTCAGGAAGAAAAAAAAAAAGTTGTAATCAACTGATTCTTCAAGAGGCCTCTAGCAATGTTCACATGCAAGGAAGGCTCGATTAATTGACAACTCTAGACTGAGGCAGGAAACTAAAATTCAATTATCGTAAATAGCTTGAATAAAACCCAATTCTTATTGGTGATGACCTTACGTGTTATTCTTTCTGTAAATGTCTTCCTATTTCTCAGTCTTTTAAAATCCCAAATGTCAGATAAAGCACCTATCTCCAGTTTTTGCTTAATTTGGTTTTCTTGTAATAAAATCTTGTCAGGCTTATTTAGAAGGATCTCTTGATTTGAGCTCTCTGCTTTGTTCTCTTTTATGGTACACCAAGTTTTCAGCAGCTCTGTATTTTAAAGGTAAGATCCACATTGATCTGAATTGTTGCTTGAAACATTTTTCAGTCTTTTATAGATGTTCATTGCACTTTGCATTTGCTGGATGAGAAGTATTGTCCTTATTAATTCTTCTGTAAGTTGGCCGGCCTGTAAATGTAATTGTCCAAAAAGTATCATAGTTGATGCTGCCATTAGAATAAGGAACTCTCTGGCTTTTGAGAAGAAACATGTATGAAATGTTCATTGCTGCGTGTTATGCTGGAGTTCAGACCTGAGAGACCATAAACCCCGAAGAGACTTTTAGATTTCATCTGTCATAAAGCATTGTCAATTACAGAAACAAAAGCTATTTAATTAATTATTGTATAACTGTATAACTATAGTTATACAAATACATGTGTAAGTAATTATGCAATGCAAAATTTCAATAAGAGTTGCATAGCATAATTGCTATGAATAATTTGCATAAAAAAGGTGTTCTCCAGCATAGTAATAATATGGATTCTTAGACTGATATTTGCCATCTCTTCATCTCATATGTTTTACAGAGCAACAATCTCTGACAGAAGATGAAACCTAGACATGGAGATCAGGTAATGTGTCTAAGGCTGTACATGGGTTCAGTGACACCTATGAGCCTATTCTTTTGCTCCTAATTTATGTGTCACTTCTGATGCTGTCTTGTATTTTCATTAGCAGGTGATGGTAGTTTGAGGAAAGCTGCATGTGTACAGGTACTAAGTAGATTTTTTTCCTCTACTTAAAGCACAGTTCACAGTCAGGATGGAAGAATTATGAAGTGGAATAATTACTATTGGTAGTGGACACAATTCCACTAGCATCTGTTCTGAGTCTCGACGATTCAATATCTTCATTAGTGACATGGGGAATGGAAGAGAAAGTTTGCTCTTTATATTTGTAGACAACAATATGTGGTAGAGCCAGGTGTAGTACACTGGAGGTTGTCACGATCCCAATGGTGATGATACATTTTGGAAAGATCTGAAGACAAAAAGAAGAATGCAATTTAACCAGGAAAGTACAAGGTATTAGAACTGAGAGAAGAAAAACTAAATGCGCAGGCACAGGAGAGGAAATGAACTGGCTGTGTAGCAATTCTTTGGAGAAAACTCCAATTAACTGGCAGATCACAAGGAAATCACGAGTGAAAAGCGGCATGCTGTTATGAAAAGGGCCGATGTCATGCAAACATACCTTACGCCTGCACATAAATGACAAACACAGGGCAAAACTTTCCAGTCCATTCAGATT